GCTAAGGACTCTATCCGTAGAAAAATGCATGTATCCATGCACACGAACATATCTCATATAATTTCAGGGCAATCATGGGACATCTGCTTGCTCTGCCCTTTTCATAGACCCCCCAAGAAAACCAGAGATTCCAGATTAACAAATTCCTAGGTTTCAATACATAATCATAGGGAGAAGCTGAGAAAGCTTTAGAAATGTTCTCCATTGCCAATTTTTTTTTTTTCAAAAAACATGTTTCTTTCATCTACCTCATGCAGAAACTCAGCACACTAAGGAAAAGGACTCTCATGTAGAAATCTGCCCCCCGCAGGTGTAGAAATAACTTATCCGTATAGTTTAGGTTTATTTACAAATTAGGCATTTTGCAGTTATCATAGAAAAAGGCATCTTTGTAACAAAAGATAATGTTAAAGAAGGCATATTTATTTAACACACATGTATGAACTATTCATTAGCAATCCAGGACTGTGGAGGACAGGGGACAGAAACAAGCCTCGAAGAGATCACAATATGCTGGAGTGCATGCATGACACCCTGGGTATCTGAATCAGATGTTTGCCTCTGTGTGTGTGATGAAGACAGTAGTGAGTGGAATGGACAGAAAGTAAATGTAAATTCTGTAAGGGAAGAAAATGAACTTTTACTCATTCTATCACAGTCTTTTGCTTTATTATGGTCATATACAACTGTTAGTCTCCCATCCTCAGTTCCCAGATACCCACCAGAAAACTGGTAATTAACCTCTGGATAAACTTTCAGTGATTACAGATGAGGAGCGAGGCAACCTTAAGCCATAAACAATATTCCTGCAGTATGGGGGAGCCACAATCATCTGAATGCCAGTTTTCAGAGCCAGCCGGTGAACGTTTCATCTGAGGGATGTTTTCCCGACGATCATCTTATCATTATCACATCTTAAAAGCTGGAGAAGCCCTCAAAGCCGATTTGGCACAAATGTCAACTCAAGGGAGGAATGCCCTCTGTAACACTCCTGGCAGCTACAGGCTTTTCACAGCAGCAGAATGTATTTTTAGCCAACAAAAATTATTAGAAACAGCTTCCTCATGCTGAACTAAATCCTCCTCATATTTTCCAACCATTTCTCTAATGGAATTTAATTGTTTCCATTTGATTTCTGAAGCAGTACAGAATTAGCCTATTCTCTCTCCCATTTCCTTCAAGAATTTGAAAACAATTATCATCTGTATTTCTGAATTATCTCCAGACTGAACTTCCCTAATTCTTTTTTATATTTCTTTTGAGAAGTATTTTCAAATTTATCATCATCTTGTTCCTGCCCTGCAAACACTGTAATACTTGGCCGAAGTCTGCTTAAAATGTGATACCTAGAAAGGAACCCAATATTCTAACAGTGACTGATCTTACACTGGAGTTCAGGGGGATTATTCTTTTGATCTGGGCACATACTTCTATCAACACACTCTTAAAAAGCCTTAGTTCTCACCTCCCGTCCCCCTCCCCAGGTGTGCTGTCCTATGAGCTGACATCGGAATTTGGCCAAATCAAACTGCCAACTCTTTTTTCCTGAATACTATCAAGTCAGTCTTCCCCTTCTTTTACCTGGGTAATGGAATGTGTCTAATTTCATTTTGAGCTTGTCTCCACATTGAAATAATTTTAAATATTTTTTTTTTTTTTTACTTTTGAGACAGAGTTTCACTTTGTTGCCCAGGCTGGAGTGAAGTGGCACAATGTCAGCTCACTGCAACCTCCAACTCCTGGGTTCAAGCGATTCTTCTGCCTCAGCCTCCTGAGTAGCTGGGACTGCAGACATGCACCACAACACCTGGCTAATTTTTGTATTTTTTAGTAGAGATGGGGGTTTGCCATGTTGGCCAAGCTGGTCTTGAACTCCTGACCTCAGGTGATCCACCCACCTTGGCCTCCCAAAGTGCTGGGATTACAGGCGTGAGCCACCTCGCCCGGCCAAAATAGTTTTAAATATTAATAACATCATCATACTTAATAATTCCAGCCCTATTATCTGTAAATTTGATACTTTTATGGTTTTTTTCATTTTTAGCCAAATGACTTGAAATTACCCCCAGTTTAACATTAATCATTATGCACTATCTCAGACTGTTTCAATAGCTAGGAATCCATCTGGATAACTATTACCCAGTCACATTCTCCATCTTAGCCACAAAGATATCAACAGCAATGTGTGTCTTGCTGGACTCAATGAACAAACTATTTCTAGCCAGCTTCTCTCATAACAAATGCTAGAGACATTTTATCATGGGAGTACAATTGAGGCGAGCCTCTGGGGTCTATGAAGTATGCAGCTAGTACAGGTTCCAGCTCATGTGAGCTGAACAAGGGAGCCTATTTCCTGTTCACCCCTTCCCCTTGTATGTGCATCATGGACTAGATGTGTTGAACCTGTATTTTCCCGGGAAAGGGAACTACAAGGTGAATTCAACCAAATAAAAACTCAAGAATCACTCATGGTGTGGTGTGGGGGTGTGTGCATGGTTGTGCACATTACCTCAATTTTTCAAATTTTGTTTTGTTACAGACTTATAGCATTATTGTTTGTTGAAAAAGGCTATTTTGGTCTAATATTTACATCTTGTAACCTTTACCTTTTGCCTTGATACAGTTGATACTAGATAATCACTTAGGTGGATCTGTTTCCAGTAGGAAATTTCTCTATTAAAGGTGACTCAAAAATTAAACTTTTTGGACGTTGACTGTTTTTCAAAGAACTGAAGGTGTATCTGTCTTTTCTTTTCTTGTATTTTACTTTTAAGACAGGGTCTCTGTCACCCAGGCTGGAGTGCAGTGACGTGATTATGGCTCATGGCTGCCTTGACCTTCTTGGGCTCAAGCAATCCTCCCACCTCAGCCTTCCAAGTAGCTGGGACTACAGGCATGTGCCACCATCCCTAGCTAATTTTTTTAGTTTTTGTAGAGACAGGGTCTATGTTGCTCAGCCTGGTCTCAAACTCTTGAGCGCAAAGGATCCTCCTGCCTCAACCTTCCAAAGTGTTAGGATTACAGGTGTGAGCCCCCACATTCGTTGCTTTCTTGCTTTTATTCTCACCACACATTTATAAGAGAAGGCATGTTCAATTTCAATGGGCTATCCAATTTCAGATGGGAGACATCTAATTGTAATGTGTTGATTTGAAGGAAGCAGCTTTGGTCACTGTATCTATTAAAATAAAATGGATTTTCTCTTTTAACATTCTTTGGGTGTTCAGTTAACTATGTTTAAACCCTATTTGAGGACTCGGTATTCGTTATGGACTGAATGTTTGTGCCCCATTCCCTACATTGAAGCCCTAATAGCCAATGTGATGGGGTTAGGGGGTGGGGCCTTTGTGGGGGGTGACTGGGTTTAGATAAAGGCATGAAGATGGAACTCTCATGATGGGATTCCTGCTCTTGTAAAACAAAGACACTCTAGGGCTTGCTCCCTGCCACTGCTGCCTGCAGAAGTTTCTGAACCTTTATGTTCCACATCCGCCTCCTCTCTTCCCATGGCTCTCTACAGAGCCATTTGTAACATGTCGACCTGACACTTTTGGGGATGTGGTCAGTAAAAGAGGAAGAGGGGCCTCACCGCGAACCAAATTTACCAGCATGTGGATTGTGGGACTTCCCAGCTTCCAGAACTGTAAGAAATGTCTGCTTTTGAAGCCACTCAATCTATATTTTGTTATAGCAACCTGAAGTAAGATGGTATTTTAATGTAAATTTTAATGCAATTTCCTTGGCGCATGGAAAGTTCCACCTGCGTATGATAGAAAATGAATAAATGGTAAATGCAAACAAACTGGCCTAGTGGGGAGGCAGGATCTCCACAGACCTATAATTCATACATAAAGGCTAAAGGTAAAATGGTAAAGTAGAAAAGTGAGTCACTGCCTATTACTTAAGGCATTTACAAGTACAATGATCATATCAGTAATTTTTCTTTGAAGAGCTATTTCCTCAATTTTGGTGTCTTCCACAATGTAATTTTCATCCGAAGAGCTACAGATATCCACCTCTTACCTTATTAGCTTTAGAAAGGCAAGACCTTGGCATAAGTAGCTCAGGTGATAACTCTTCAAGGCAATTTTTAGTTGTTTAGGTAACATGCAACATTTATACTAGAGGGGGACAAAGTCTATATCACGTGGCATAACGTCAAGACATTTCTCTTCTCTGCAGCATCGTAAAACTAAACCTTTAGGATCATGCCTACTATCCATTAGCATAAGATGTTTAAGATTTTATCCTTCACAACACAACAGTGCCTGTAAAAAAAAAAAAACAACAAACCGAAAGAGGCCTAAATCTCCTGGATCAATTACCTGGAGAGACCTTATTATATGTGGCTCAGTCCATAAATCTAAAGTGTACATTTGTCCAATTACAATTTCCATAGTTATCCACCATTTCAAGTATGTCAGTGATATTCTCTGCTCTGAGCTGGAAAAAAAGAACAACTAGACGGATGGCCACATTAAAAAAAACAAAGTCCTTTCTTTTGAATCACACTAGAGAATTTTTTAAAAGTAAGTCCTTTCTTTTGAATTATGCTTGAGAATTTTTTGAGTATTAATTTTTCTGAGACTTAATCTGGCTCTGTTGTCCAGGCTGGAGTACAATGGCATGATCTCAGCTCTCTACAACCTCTGCCTCCCGGGTTCAAGCTATTTTCCTGCCTCAGCCTCCCGAGTAGCTGGGACTACAGGCACCAGACGTCATACCCAGCTTTTTGTATTTTTGTGGAGACAGGGTTTCACCATGTTGGCCGGGCTGGTCTTGAACTTCTGACCTCAGGTGATCCGCCTGCGTTGGCCTCCCAAGGTGCTGGGATTACAGGTGTGAGCCACTGCACCCGGGCTGAGTTTTAATTTTGTGACTGTTCTTTGGTAGATTTTAAATATTAGAGGTAGGCCCTAAATAAAAAGAACACTATGGTGCTTTTGCTCTCATATATTTCGGTTTTAATGTTAAAGTATGAAAGAAATATGAATTCATTCTCATGGATAATAATATAACTTTATTGTGTGCAGCCTTTCCACACCAATTTAGTTTTTCTGTGTGAAATAAGATTTCAAATGGTAAAGTTGCTGTTAAGGAGACACACTGGAAAAAGCTGAAGAGTTTTTTTTTGTCTGAAACTGGAAAACAGAAAAGTCTTTGGGGAGGGGGGGAAGATGTGAGAAAACTACTATAGGCTGCAAAGACCACAAAAACAGTTTTGGGGACTAGACGGGGGTGACACTGAGTGAGTGTGGGGAAGAGAAGGGCTGGGCAAATTATCTCAGAATAGAGGGTAGTAGGATTTCAGGTGGATGTTTAAGGTATTTGCTTGGCAGATATAATCTAGGAATCTCCTAGCTCTTGCATCTCCTGCTGTCTGTAATTTTGTTATGTAGTATAATAATTTTTTATTTAGCACAAAGTTCACTTGGACTAGAGAATCGAAAGGTGCTAATTTTGTCCCTGGCTAGCAAAGTCATACCTGAGGTATGCCCTGGAAAACAACTAGAAGACCTAGGCAGGGTACATTCAAAGTTTTTTTTTTTTTTTTTTTTTAATTTTATTATCCTGTCTTGGTTTCCTTTATTGAATAGATTCCTACAGGAAAAATACTGTGAGTTTACTGTCTGCTGCAGAATTGGAATTTAGACTCACAATAAAGAGAGTTAAAGATAGATCCAAAGGTTCACTTAAAATAAAAATCACCTGACGGAACAGGCTACTGAAGAGTCTCTTCCCTGTGGTTAAGTTTCATCATACACATAAGGCTTTGGAGCAGCTGTCCTAAAATGCTTCTGTCCAAAACCCATTCCTGTTCTGGAGGTTCTGAACCCTTTATGTTCCACATCCACCTCCTCTCTCTTCCCATGGCTCTCTACAGAGCCATTTGTGAAATGTCTACCTGACACTTTTGGGGATGTAGTAAGCAAAAGAGGCAAAGTCCCTAACACTTATCAGAAACACGAAAAGACAAAAATGTGCTTGGACTTGCTTTAGTATTCTAATTGGCACACATGCCAAAAGACTAATGATCTTGTATGCTGAAGTGGAAATGAGCCTCTCATACAAGCTACGAAATCCTCTAATACAAGATACAAAAACTTATACATTAGACCAGTCTAATCGAAACATAAGTTTTTGATACTCTTGACTGCACTTTGGACGGAAAAGACAAAACTCAAATGGAGGAACGTAATTTAAGTATGGCAGAAAGTTGGGAATCACGCGGCCTGATATACAAAAAATGCATCACTGAGGCATATTCCCCTGGCCTTGAGGTATGCAGGCAAAGGAGAGGTCACACCTTCTTGGGAGACAAAGGATCAAAGTTGACACAGAGCTCCAAGAAAATATTTACCAGAAGAATGTGATGATTCATTTATCAGTCCAGAAATCCCAAGTACAAAACTTCAAGATACAAGAAAGATCAAATTATATCATGTATATGATTCAATTTTAAAATTCTTAGCCCTCTTATATCATATTATCTAGATTATAATAGTAAAAAATCAAGTTACATTCATATGAAACTTTCATAAAAAGAAATCAAATCCAGTTTTATGAAATTTTATAGTACAATTACTTTCTAGTGGGTCTTTTCTTAGGTCACAGTATTTATAATTCCATTTACATCTTTATAATTTTTAAAATTAGAAAACAAAAGGATGTCAATAGAAATCTAAATTTTCACTTGTAAAACTCCCTTCAGTTTCCAGGCCAGTAACACACAGTGATGTTGACTTGTTCTCCAGACATGGACGGCTACCAAGGATCCCCAGTTCACGAAGCATGCAGGCCTCGACTCATTAGGAACGCTTTTTGGTTTGGCTCACGTTTCAAGAAATTGTGGAGCATGTCCATGCCGTCCAGAGATCCCCCAGGTTTCAGGATTAGGTTTCTGTATTTCATTCCAACCTAATAAAACAAAACATCATACCTAATAATTCATGGTTATAGCAATTTTCCAAATCTCTAGATGTAAAAGAGGAAAGGGTAGGGGTGAAGGAAAAAGGACTTCAGCCTTACTCTGTCTAGATGTTTTCTCTTGCTCACAAACAGCTCTGTAGTATTTATTTATTTTGGTAGCTAAAAGATTTGGAGCTTAAAACTTCAGGTCTTCTACACTGTCCTTTATTATGGTCTTGTCTCCTTAGATTCTAGGCAGTGAGCTGACAACATGAACAAACAAACAAAATATAGCCAAATGGAATATACGGCAGGTTCCTATTTGCTGTGCTATCTCTTGTAAATTCAAAAGGGTTAGAAAGCAAGTGTTCAAGAAGGCTACAAACAACCTTCTGGGTACCCAGAAACAGGAGCATGGCTACTGTCACATGGTTTCTGCTGCTTTTATGATGGGCTCATTCAAAACAACAACAGAACCCTCCTCCTTATGGATGAGAGAAGGAGGGCCGCACATGTCCCGCAGGGGAGGGCCAGACGTTTTGGTGGGTGCGATGCTGGGAATGAGGACCTTTAGAAAGCTTTCTTTGGGAATGGAGGTCTGGAATTTTAAAACATCACAGTTCCTCTACTTTTATTTACATAAACACAGGAGCAGATAGAGTGAAAGAAAATAGTTGTTATGCAGTATCAACATTGTTCAATATTTTCATTTCCCTTTCAGTGTCCTTTTAAGGAAGCAAGGCAAGACAATTCAATGAAGCATAATTCCAAATATACACATAACAAACAATTCACAGAGCAACACTTACATTTATATCCATTATATCACTTGATCAACAGGACTTAGTACAAGAAGAGCTAGAGAATTTCCAGCTCTGTCTTATAACAAGATTTTGATTGGTACAACCATCAGAGGTAAATTTAGTCAAACTGTTAAGGAAAATAAAACATGGATGAAATCTACCAAGTTAGACACAAAACGATTTATGTCCTAGGGCCATAAGAATACAAACTTTTGGGGTTACATTTGGCTGTAAATAGAAATCATTTGCAGCTTATTAATCATCTACAGGCTAACACGTAACTTCACAGTCTGGACTCTAATCAGGAGTAAATAACTAGTCAAAGTTACCTTCTCAGAAACTCTAGGGCTGCACTGTCCAACAGAAACATAATATGAAGCACATATGTAACTTTAAACTTTCTACTAACCACATTTTTTTAAGTTAAAGAAACAAATAGGTAAAATTAATGTTACTATTTTACTTAAACCACTATATCCACAATAGTATCATTTCAACATGTGTCAATATCCACATTATGGAGACTTGTTGCTGTTGTTGTAAGGGCTCAAAATCCAAGGTGTTTTCTACACTTACGGTGCATCTCAATTCAGTTCTTCGGTTGTACTTAACCTCATTTCAAGTGCTCAACAGCCACACGTGGCTACCACACTGGACAGGTCTAGTGCCCAGAGCATAAAATAGTCTTTAGGGGGGCTTGTTACACAGTGTTCTAGTTTGATATTAAAAAGGTACACAGCAGTCTTGTTGCCTTATTTCCAAGTTTTAAAGCCATTTTCTTAGGAGAAGGCGTTCAGTCACTGATATCGAACTTCCCAAAACTGATGACTAGGGCTTGAAGCTAGATTCAATTAGCTCCCTTCCCTTTCCGCCCCCGGGCCCTGGCCCCTGCCCCTGCCTCTGCCTCTGCCTCTGCCTTTTCTTTTCTTTTCTTTTCTTTTTTTTGAGACAGAGTCTCATTCTGTTGTCCAGGCTGGAGTGCAGTGGCACAGTTTCGGGTTACTGCAACATCTGCCTCCCAGGGTCAAGCGATTCTTATGCCTCAGCCTCCCGAGTAACTGAGATTACAGGAGTGCACCACCATACCCGGCTAATTTTTTTGTATTTTTAGTAAATATGGGGTTTTGCGATGTTGGCCAGGCTGGTCTCTAACTTCTGGCCTCAAGTGACCTGCCTGCCTCGGCCTCCCGAAGTGCTGGGATTATAGGTGTGAGCCACTGCGCCCAGCCTTCAATCAGCTTTCGGGAAAACAAACAGACAAACAAACAAAAACACGTCATGTCTTGCCTGTTCTGCAGCAATTCATTACTGCTACAGCAGCAATCTCGAATCTAAAATGTGAGTGATGGCTGTGCTTGTCATGGCCGTTAACTAAGCTAAGAAGGAGCATATCATGGCTTGTGAGCACAACCACGATTTACCTCCCTTCCCTTCCTTTCTTTGCTCACCACGCCTAAAACTGACTAGTGTTAACTGAGTGGCTGGAGCTGGAAAGACTGTGCGCCCTGGGTAGAGCAGCACAGGAAGAACGCAGACAATGGGAGTTAAATTTTTCTGCAGAATTACAAAAATATTTTAAACATTTTATTATGAAAAACTTAAAATACATACTAATAGTAGAGACAACAGTATAATGAGCTCTCATGAACCTATCACCCAATCTCAATCATCAGTATTTCATCTGCAGAAATTCTTCAAGCTCAAGATCTATGTATCATGTGTCTTTCATTTCTTAAAAAGACATATGCATTTGACAAGTATAGAAACATTAAGGAAAATCGAAACGAAAGTTTTAAAAAATCACTCCAAATGTGAACATCTGACAAAGTATTTTCATTTTGTGCAGAGAACTGTAATTTTAGGTAGTAAAGGAGGCATTTGAGGAGTTCTATGGTGTTGTAAAGAGACAGCTCATGAATGGTAAAATCATTTCAGAGCAGGGCACTGTTTTGTCTCACAATATGTGGCTCAGTACAGCTCAAATCTTCCTCTGCCTATGGCTCCAAACAAGTTGATTCAATTTCCTGAATTACAGAGCAATGGTCTTTTAATAGTTTCATTTCCTTTGCAATGAAGTTTTGAGAAGAGTTTAAGAGTCATTTTGGTAACAGGATCTTCCTTTACTTAAGAAAAAAAACAGTTAAGTGAATTTGTGTGTTTTGGGGGGTACCAGGCTCTTTGTGTGAGAAAACATGGTCTGGGAGACATATGCCACAGGTGGAGGGAGTCTTTGCCCTGAGTTGTTCTGTTAATACTTTGTTTATAAAGAAACTGTAACTGTAAGGAAATCAAGAAGAGAAGCTCTAAGACAACTGCTAAAATTTTTCATGTTAGAAACATCCTTCAGGAAGATCTGCATACAGTAAAAACCAGAGCTTTCCTATGAAGGAAAACCAGTGTCATCCACCTCTGTGGCATTTTTAATCCTAGAAGATTAGCATGTATCTTTTGGCAACTATGCAAGTCTTCTCTAACAGTGATGATTTCTGAAGCAAGATCAGGAACTCCAGAGTCAGGCCCAGGTTTGAATCTTGGCTCAATCTTTAGCTATGTGACCTGGGGCCTTGATTTCCTCATCTGTCAAATGGGAATATGCCTATCTCACTCAGTTTCTGGGCAGTTAGAGGAGGCGATTTCAGTATTCTGTTTGCTCCCTGGCATAATATCTGGCATATAGCGGTAATCAATAAACCTCTCCTCCTCCCATCTCCTTTCCTCCTTCCCTCTCCTCTCTTTCCTTTCCCACTGCCCCAGCTCAGTTATGTATATACAGTTCAGGGAAACAAATGCATTCCTGGTGTGGCATTTCCTCAAAATTAGTTCTGTCACCTAATAAAGCTAAAGAAAGGCATAAGGAACTTCATTTCCACTATTAATAAGAAATAGAATGCATAATTCAGTAGAAATATTAAGTGGGAGAGATAAGGTACTCAGGCACTCATTTTATCCAATAACATGCACCCTTTCAGGTAATATCTTAATAGCAATAATAATTACCTAAATGAAGGATGTCCATCATTTATCAGCAATGAGAATATATAAATGGGAAACAGATGGGGTCTCCTGTTATCTTGGGCATCTCTGCAGCAGCACATGCAGGCTCTCACTAACTTTCCACCCCTCCTCCATCCTTCCCAGCATGGATGACTCTGGGGAGTGCAGTCAGAGCTGTCTCCTTCCTACACTGAGTGACAGTCATCAGGGCAGAGAGTGACCAGCCAAGGACGGGTGATGACGATCAGGCACCTGACAAGCTCACCAGCCTGCTTTAAAGCTGGACTTTGAACCTTCTCCTTCCATAGCCCGTAACTCCCTCCCAAGAGCACACCGTTTGTTTTCTGTGAGGGTGGGGAGATCTTGAATGGACAAAAATTAAAAAAGGAACTGCTTTGACAACAACAAAGGAGGGAGAGAACAAAACTGGTGCTGATAGAGAGAGAGACAAGAATAGTAGTAGGAATTGCTGTCTGATTAGAAGAGGCCTTCTGGAAACCTTACTGATTGGTGAGGATAGAAGGGTAAACCTTTATAGGGAGGGAGCAGATCCAAAGGAAAAACACCCTGGGTAGGAGTATGTATGGGGGGTAGAGAAGTGGAAGCGGATGGGGAAAACCATCAGTCAGGTCCAAAGAGGCACAAATATGTAAAACAGTAATTAAATTAAAATAAATAGTTGTGAAGCAGAGAAGGGAACCCAATGCTGAATAAAATAGTTCCTTTTATAAGAGTCTTCTGATCTATCAGAGAAGATAAAGAAATAGACAATTAACCAGGCAGATTATTGAGATGCTAAGAGCAAACAAAGAAGGGCTGTAAGAGCACAAAGGAAGAAAAACTGCTTCCAGCTGCTTGGGATTCAAGATTTAGAAGGCCTGGCCTTGTAAATATTCAAGAAGTAGGTTGGAAATCAATTCGAATTCCTTCCTTTGTCCCTCAAGTCAGGCAAAACCTGAGGCTACTAGAAAAGGTTCAGTTATAAGAAAAATCAGCTGTTGGGTGGTACATCAGGAGAGCTGAGACAGAGAAAAGAATTAAAGCCATTTGTAAAAACCTTCTGGAGAGGACATTCTCTTTTCATATTCTCTTTTAGCAACACGTTACAGGAAGAATTGGGCCTAGGATTCTGTTTCAAGCACTGGGATCCTTAGCTTTGTATTATAGATTCTCTATCAAGTGATTCTTTGTCATGTTTAACCAAGACTCTTC